CCCTATTGATCTTCGGCTTTGATTTGATCCTATTACCAGCGTGACCAATATGGTAATAAACACCCTTCATAGGGACTTGTGCAAGTATGGCTTTGAAGGAGTAGAATAGTTGGCTCACAAGATATATGCATACTTACTCTGATTGCTGGTTGTTCTCCAGAATGACTTGATTGATTTTTGTTCATATCAGCAATGCAAGTTCTTATTTGCTGCACTGTTGATAAGTAACAGTGTTCAGCTTTCTGATTTTTGCTCAAATGATCTTATTGTTCTGATTTGAATTTCCCTGATTTCTTATGAATTTAAACATCTTTTTTTTTCCATAATTAAACATCTTTTTTAAAAACATTTTCTAGCTGTGTGGGAATGTGGCTCAGTGGCAGAGCACCTGGATAGCGTGTACAACGCCCTGGGTGCCATCCCTGGTACTAAAAATTAGTTTTACATATAGATATATTTTTGGTAGCCCTTTTTGTTTCCAAAGCTTTGAATTACAATTCAGAGTGCAGTTTTCTGTTTGTGGCCTGTCCTTTTTTTTTTTGTAATTTGCAAAAGTTTCTTGTGTAATCTGTGCTTCTCAAAGAGGGAAAGGTTTACTTAGCTCATAGTTTGCAGCTTTCAATCTGCAATCGGCTGGCTCCAAGGCAGGGTGGCATGGCTGAGGAGCACCAGTTTGTGGTGGTAAAAGACAGCAAGGGCAACAAAAGCAAAAGGGAGAGCAAGCCTTTTTTCCTTCCTCATATTGTAAGCAGGCAACCTGATTCCACAGGGGGCCAGGGTGCTCACTTTGTGAGCCTATGCAAGAGGAGGCTGCAGAGATGGTGTGAGTGTGTCTTAGTTGCTCTTCTCTCGTTGCTGGGACAAATACCCGACACTCAAAATGAAGGAAGGAAAGGTTTATTTAGCTCACAGTTACTGGAGGTTTCAGTCCATACTCAGCTGGGTCCAACGCAGAGCAGCACAGAGCAGAAAGCAACCTTTCATGGAGGCGGCGGCAAAGAGCAAGAGTGCAAGGGAAGGGTAGCAGCAGCTCAAGCAGCTAGCTTTTCTTCCCACCTTACATTGTAATGCAAATTACCTGCCCCAGGGTAGGGGAAGTACTCATACCTATGGGTACTTCCCAGTACTTACTCACCTATAGGTAATCCCAGCTGTACTAAAACCCATAATCCCAGCCTTGGATCACACATAATCCCAGTGGATCACGAGTTAACACAAACTCTAGAAGTCCTCACCCCATGACTGCATGAGGATTTGGGGGGACAACTAGACACAAACCATAACAGAGTGCTACCACAACCCTCGGGCAGGTTGCCTGCTTACAATATAAGGAAGGAAAAGAAGGCTTGCTCTCCCTTTGGCTGTTGTTGCCCTTGCTGTCTTTTACCACCACGAACTGGTGCTCCTCAGTCATGCCACCTTGCCTTGGAGCCAGCCGATTACAGACTGAAACCTCCACAAACTATGAGCTAAACTTCTCAGGTTGACATGATGAATCAACCACTATAGCCTCCTGGAATAAATAGTTGCTCCAAGACATGTCCTCTATACCCTATGATGTAGGACTGCTGAGTCTGACTTAAGCTTCTAAACTTTTCAAGTTAACACAGTGTATCCACCATTACAGTTACATTATTGAGAGACTTGTTTCATTATGTCTGGGTCACGAGGATGTTTTTCTCTGTTAATGTCATATTGTAAAGGAGTCTTACTGTGTTGCCCAGGCTGGTTTTCATTTCTGGGGTTTATTCCTTCTGACTCATCCTTCCAAGTAGCTTGGACTAAAAGTATGTCTTGTCAAACCTAGCTAGCTTTATTGTTTTATATCAAATTTAAGGACAATACATCTAAAGGAATCTTTATATTGGGTATGAATCAGGTAACTAATTTTAATTTTTCTCTTCATAGTAATAGTAATCTAGTTTATAGTAATAGTAATCTAGTTTTCAGATTTAAGAATGTTTTGATTAGGCCGGCCAAATATAGCTCAGTGGATTAAAGTGCCTGCAAGCAGGTGCAGAAGCTGAGGGTTTGATCCCTGGGCCTGCTGTACCAGCCCCACCCCCAGGGTGTGCTGAGACAGCAATTGAGACTGGGTGTGGTGGTGCAAGCCTGTAATCCCAGCTCTTGGGAGGCTGTAAAATCCCAGCTCTTGGGAGGCGGTGGATCACTACAACTCCAATCTAGTAGTGAGACCCTGAACACCCTGTAGACCCTTCCCTAAAATAAAAAAAAAAAAAAAAAAAAAAAGTTTTGATACATGGAAGGGTCACTATTGTCTTTTTCAAGTTTGATTTATGTCTAGGTATTTGTAGATCTTTATCCTTTTACGTGAATTTTATTTATTTTTATTATTTTTTGTATTTAGTACAGGATCTCAAGGGTCTCACTATGAAGATCGGACTCATAGTGATCCTCCCGTTTTCAGCCTCCCAAGAGCTGGGATTACAGGTGCGCACTAACGCACTTAGTCTCAGTTGCCCTCTCAGTGCACCCTGGGCTTGGGGCTGGCATGGCACGCCGGAACTGGATGCCGGGAGTGAATTTTAGAACAGCTTTTCAACAACTGGCTGAAATCTTGAATTGTACTGATTTTATATATTAATTTGGAAGAGATTAATATTTCTATAATATCTCATCTGTGAAGAGAAACATGTCATGCATTCAGGTTTTTCGTGTCTTTGTTTGATAGAGTTTAAATTTTCTCCCCATAAAGTCTTGTGGATTATTTTTAATGTTTCTTATGAGTATTTCATTGTTTTTATTGCCTTTTAGAGCAGTATTTGTAACATGTCCCACTTATTTCTGATATGGAGAAATGTCAGTAGTTTCTATAAGCTAATTTTATATCTTATAGTCTTGGTGACCTTTCTTATTTGTTGCTATGATTAGCAAATAGTGAACTTTTATTTATTCCATTTTTCTTTGCTTTTTAATTTCATTTCTTGTAGTTGACATTTATTTTATTCGGCATTCTAATAGACTCTTTTGGAGCAGTTTTAGGTGTTTGGAACAATTCAGAAAATATATATTCCCTCTCCTGTCACCAAAAATTTTCACCATTATTAACCCCTGTACTGCTGTTGTACATTTGTTATAACTGATGAATCCCGTTGATATGTTACTGGCATTAGTAGGAGTCCTAGTTTATATTAAGCCTCAGCGTTGTACAGTTCATTGGGTTCTGCCAGATGCATAATGTCATATATTCACTACCATGTATCGTACAGAACTTCTTCACTGCTCTAAAAAGTGTCCTGAGCTCCTCATACTCCTTCTTACCCCCATCCTTGAATATATGTCAACTGCTTCTATTTGTATTACCTCTAAAGTTTTGTTTTTTTAAGAATGTCATGTGGCTGGAATGATAGGTTATATAGCTTTTTCAGACTGGCTTCTTTCATCTAACGATATTTATTTAATTTTTTTCCATGTCTTTTTGTATCTTAATAGTTCATTTCTTCCTCTCACTGAATGTTACTCCATTGCAGGAAGGTACTGGATTGTTTATCCATTCACTTCCTGAGGGGCATTTTTGTTCCCTGAAGGCTTTGACAATTGTGACTAAGGCAGCTGTAAACATTCATGTACGTGTTTCTGTGTAGACAATTAATGTGGCTAAATATCTATGATGTGATTGCTGGCTTGTTTGGTCAGGGTCTGTGCAGTTTTGTAGGAGACTGCTGAGCTATCTTCCAAAGGGGCTCTACCACCTTGTATTTCCACTTGAGATAAGTGAAGCTTCCTTTTCCCCATATCTTCCCCAATGTTTGATGTTTGCCTTTTGGATCTTAGTCTTAGAGGTATGTTGTGTCATTGCTTTAATTTTCTATTCACTAATGATAGATTAGATTGAGCATCTTCCTATGCTTATTTACCATCCGTGTGTCTTCTTTGGGGAGGTGTCTTCTTGGATATTTTGCCTGAATTTTAATTGGATTGTTTTCTTATTATTGAGTTTTAAGAATTTTCTGTTATACTATTAGATAAAACAATTTTGTATATGTTTTGCAAAGATTTTCATTCTGGGTATGCCTTGTCTTTTCATTCTGTTAACAATGTCTTCTATAGGCCAGAGATTTTTAATTGTAGTGAAGTTAACTTAGAAATTTTCCCCACATGGATTGTACTTTTGGTGCTGTATCTCAAAACTCATTGCCAAACTCAAGATGACCTGGACTTTTTCAGTTTTCTTCTGCAAGTTTTATGTTGTTGCATTTTCCATTTAGGTCTATGTTCTGTTTTGAAGTGATTTTTGTGAAGGTTGTAAGGCCCATCTGTACATTTGGTTTTTGCACGTGGATATCCAGTTTTTCCAGCACCATTAGATAAAAAGACTGTCTTTTCTCCATTGAGTTGCTTTTAGTCTTCTGTCAAAGATTGGTTAAGTATATTTGTGTGGGTCTATTTTTGAGCTTTCTGTTCTGTTCCATTGATCTATTTTTCTACTTTTTCATCAATATTACCCTGCCCTAATTACTGTAGGTGCTTTTTAGTTTGTCTTGTAACCTTGCAATTCTGAAAAAGGATTTTTGATAATTTCAGTTGATTAGGAAAAAGGACAATTTTTTTTTTAAAAGAGAAAAATCATATAAAATTAAACTATTGATTCTTCTGCCAGAGGCTGCATTCCTTAAAAAGCTAGAACACTTCTGAAATAGAACAGCTAGAACAGATTCATTATAATAGAATCAGGACTGGCCTGTGGATTTTTTTACTTGCTGGAAACAACATTGACAACTTTGAAAATCCAAGGTTGAGGTAGGGAAAAGTACTGGAGGTGGGTTAGTTTTAAATATTGTTTTCCTTTGCATTTATGGTGGTTGGTTATTTAGTTAATGTAACATAGTTGTATACAATTCATTGGTGACAAATTCTAATACTTTATTTAGCTATTTTAATAATTCAACCACCAGCAAAGACTAAATATATACAAATATACGTATATATGTGTATGTATATTATGTAAAATCTGACCATATCTTCTTTAATTTTTTTAGGTAAATGATGCCTTCCTTCATATTATGCAGCGCAAATCCACAGGAAAGGTGCTTCTCTCTCTCAAATAAAATCTCAGCTCAACAGCAAATTCAGCATGTCCAAATCAAAACTCCTCATCTTTCCCCCAAACCTGACTTGCCTCCTGGGTTTTTAAAGGTGTTGCCAGCTTTCTTACCCAGATTTAAAACCTTGCAGTTACTTTTGGTTCTGTTTTTTTTATTGCTTATAATTATTATGTTTGTAGAGATTATTATCCAAAGTTGGACCCCTTTAAGAGTAAAAATGCTATTAGTAATATGTCCAAGGCAAACCAGAACATCACCTTATTAAAAATGTATCGATCACCTTGTCTGTCATGCCCACTCCTAAGATGTCTTTTTCCTCTGTGTCCTCCTTTCCTTTCTGCCTGTCTCTCATCTGCTATCTCAGTGCCCCCCCAGATAGTCTTCCTATCTTTAATGCCTGCTGTGTCCTTATTATACAGTATTGCCATGGTGATCTTCCCAAACCACAGCTCTGACTGTATCTTCTCTTAGACAGCTGGCACTGCCTGCACAGTGGGCTCAGACCCCTTAGGCCAGCTCTGCCCTATAATGATGGTTTTTTCCTCTTACTTTCTAGCATCATGCTCTCCAGTGCCCCCAGTTCCTAAGCAGGACCCTGCCTTCCTCATTTTTCTCTTCCCATGAAGTTTCCTCTGCTTTCATCTCTGTGAAGTACACGGCTTCCTGACCTCGAGAGCCTCCATTCCCCATGTACCTTAATCCTGAGTCATAATCTCTTGTTTGCCTCTTCTACTTCTGTAGCTTCTCTCAGATAGGTTACAGTCTAACTTGTACCAGAGGGAGCAGCATGTATAGTGCAGTGAATACAATGAACACGTCTAAATTCAAGATGTGAGTGGGAACCTCAGCCCAGACCACTACTGGTCTTTGAGGTGGCTGCTTCAAAGCTCTGCACATTGTTGTCTCACTGTAGAGTGGCTAGTAGACTAGCAAGTTCCACTGTTATTGTGGGCAGTACATGCAGTGATTGGACTAAGCACCTGGCAGACAGTAAGTGCTCAGCAAGTACTGGTTACTTTCACTGTTTTTCTCCTTTCCCAGGATTTTGTAAATTCCTTGAAAGTACAACTACTTTGATTCACCTTTGTGAATTTTCATACCCCCTAATATAGTGAGTCACTCTGGGTAAATATGCAATAAATTGAATTGAATTGCCTGCAAATCTTAAATTGTGGCATTAAGTAAAAAATATATTGTCCTGCAAATAACCCAGATATCCATTGACAAGTAAATGGATGAATGTCGTATGTATATACACTGGAATGTTAGCCACTTTAAAAAGGAATAAAGTTCTTAGATGTGCTACAACATGGATGAATCTTGAAGATACTCTGAGTAAAATAAGCCAGACTAAAAAAGGCAAATATTCTATGATTCCATTTATGTGAGATGTCTAGAACAGTTGAATTAGTAGAAGCAGAAACTAGAATGGTCATCACCAGGGGAAGGGGGAATGGGGAGTTACTAAGTGACTACACAGTTTCGATTTGAGAAGATGAAAATGTTATGAAGGTATCTGACAGTGATGGTTGCACTAGAGTAGGAATATACTTAATGCTTATGTACTTAAAAAGGTTACAATGAAAAGAGGACAACATAAAATGGTAAATATGTGTGTTTTGCCACAGTTAATTTTTTTTTAAAGAATGGATATGTCTAAAGAACCAATTTAGAAATGAGAACAGAGAGTGTGTGTACAGTGCGAAATTTAGATTGAAGGAAACTCCAGTCTGTGGTCCATGGGCCTTACACTTTTTCTGAGTCCTGACCCATGACTTATGGTGTTTTCACTTAGGATCTTTCCACTTTACTATTGTATCAAAAATGGTGCAGTGTATACATTTTATAGAAACCTTTGAATGTGGGCTTTTCTTGCCTGAGTTAGCATTGTGCAGTTATGAGTAGCTTGTTCCTAATGGACAAGTAATGGATCCTGTACAGCATGGCCCCCAAAGCCCAGACCACTACTGGTCTTGTTAGGAACTGGGCTGCACTGTGGTATTAGCCAAGGAAGCAAAGCTTCACATGTATTTATAGCCATTCACATAGCCTTCTGAGCTCTGTCCTGTCAGATTAGTGGTTGCCTTTGGTTCTCATAGGAGCATGGATTGTACTGTGAACTGTGTATTTGAAAGATTTAGGTTTGATTCCTCTTATGAAAATCTTATGCACAGTGATCTGAGGTGGTGATGCTAGTATTGGGTAGTGGCCGCAAGTTCACATCAGCATTAGCAGGGAGTTGGCATAGAGCCCATGGTAAATCAACTGCTTGTAGACTCAATAGCAAAACCCCATCAGTGGCTAGCAACTCTGCATTAGGGTGAGTTGTATAATTATTTCATTATGTATTGCAATGTAAAAAATACTAGAAATAAAATGCACAATTGATGCACTGTGCTTGAATTGTCCCAAGACCCCACTTTCCATCCCTAACCACCCATCTCCAATTCCCATTCCCACCCTGTCCATGGAAAAATTGTTTTTTTGCGGAACCAGTCCTTGGAGCCCCAAAGGTCATGGACAACTGCTCTGCAGTGTGCTCTGGTGTTGAACTACGATGTTAGGTAGGCTAGATATATTAGATTCATCTTTAACTTACAGTATTTTCAACCTGTGATGGGTTATGGCGATACAGCCCCATTCTAAGTTGATGTCCATCTGTACTCTTCCTCTTACCACAGGGATAATAGTTGTCAAATGAGAAGGTGGGGCTAAGATAAAAACAGCTAACTGACTCAGGAGGGGTGTGGAAACTTCTATTTATTTCTGAAGTTTTCTCCCAGTAAATATGATGATAAGTTTTCTGATAGGTAAAAATACCTGTCTCTTCAGCAGAAGAATTTTTTTAAGAATAGAATTATAAAATAAGGATGAACATTTGTTGGGCTTGGTAATCCCAGCACTTGGGAGGCTGAAGCAGGAGGATTGCCATGAGCTTGAAGCCAGCCTGCATATTATAGTGACTTTAAAGCCAGCTTGAATTACATAGCAAGAGCCTGTCTCAAAAAAAGAAAGAATAAACATCAGGGTAAGAACTTGAAAATGGCATGGGGGGATGTCAGAGAAGTCATCCAGGAATCTGTTGTGGGCCCACATGGGATTTCTCTGAGGGCCACAGGACAAGGTGCTGCCATTCCCATGCCTCCTGGGAGCTTCCCTGTAAACCTTGATCTGCTCTTCCTCACCTCCCTTCTCAGCCCCACTACATCTTCATGGAAGCTTCTTTTATATTTAAATGCATGCTAGTGTTCAAAAATCTCAGGAAACTCAACTTTGATGGTCTGTAATTTTAAAATTACTTGGCATATTTGGCACCATTGAGGACTTGCTGGGTGGCATCCTGAGAGAGAAGGACAAAATTCTGGATGAGGGCGAGCACAGGAGCCCGGCCAGAAGCTGCCTTCCTCACTGTGCAGAGCTGATCTGGAAGTGTCACAAGCAATGAAGATCCAATGTCTCTAGTTCACTAACGTCAAGATGACTTAGATGGAAAAAGGCAATCATTAAGGAGAGTGAATTTCTCCAGCTTTAACAATTATTGGTTAGATCCCCCGATGACCTGCTCTCTGCTTGCCTGTCTTCCTGCTTCAATGGAGTGATTTGATTTGAAAGCATTTGACTCATATTTTAGTCATTGTTTGGTGGTTCTACCATCTGAACCATTAGTCTGAAAAAAGAATCAATGCAGCTCCCAGTGACAGTATTTATTCTATATTCACAGACTTTTCTTAGCTCTTCTTGTAGGCTGCCTGCTGGAGAAATCACACCCACACACCTGCCTCTCCGTTTTCAGCAGCCGAGGGCCTTTCCACCCGCACACCCTTCTCTCAACAACCACAGTGAGCTTTTCTGTCTTCAGTCTCAGAATGAACCCGTCACCCCCCAACCAGTGTAGCTGACCCTGCTCCTTGCCCTGTAATTTTCACTAATTTAGAAAAGTGTCTCTTCAGCTTGAGCTGCGGTAAAGACAAAAGCTTTGTAGACAAGTGGAAGGAAGTAGAAGTGCTTTACACTGTCACCTGTAGTTAACAAAAAATGTTCATAAACTAAGAACAATTCTTGCTGTTATTTTGTTTTTCCTTATAAGATTGTATAAGAGGAGTGACGAACAGTGATTTTTCAACATCTTTTTTACTTATAAAGTCAATGTGTAGAAGACTTACATGAACCCTGAAATCTCTAGTTCTCTTCTTCTTCAGAGCTTATTGCTAAATCGAAGATCTGAATTGGATACCTGCTGGTTCCTGGAACTTTATCATTGTTGAAGAATCAGAGGCCTTTTGAAAACTATATTTAAAAATAGTCAGTTTCCTGAGCCTTAGTGACTTGCACCATTGTTTTTAAAGTGGCATTGTTAACATAATTACAATAATATTACATGGTTATTGAAAAGCCAAGCCACCAAGAAGAAGAAATTGGTATTATCCCGTTTCCCCCCTACATTGTCTAACCACATTCTCCAAGGAAACCACAATAAGCAGCTTGGTGTTAGTCTTGCAGGACACATATAGTGTTGTTCTTGGTTTATTCGGTTTATTGCAGTGATAGGGATTGAACCTGAGCCTTGCCAATGCCAAGCATGGGCTGGGGATATAGCTCAGTGGTCCAAGTGCCTGCCTGGCAAGTGCAAGTAGCTGAGTTTGATCCCTGGTATTGAATGCCGTGACAGCCCTACCCTGGGCCTGCTGAGCTGGCCACTGCAATTGGGCATGGTGTCACATGCCTGTAATCCCAGCACTGGGGAGGCCAAAACAGGAGAATCACAGTGAGTCTGAGCTTAGTAGTGAGACTCTGTACCAAATACATAAATTTAAAAAAATAACAAATGCCAGGTATGCACAGCACCATTGAGATAGCTACATCCCGGCTAGAGGTGCCATTTTTAAGCATATTATGTCATGGAGATCATCCATATTAGTAAATATAGAGTGCTTTCATTGTTTTTATTGGCCATCTGGTGTTCCGTAGTGAGGATGTGTGTTGTATGTAATCACATCCTTATTAGTGGGCTTATTCACAATCACATCCAGAATATGATGGAGAGCAACAGCTAAAAACTTAGTAGGAGAGAGAGATTAATCAGGTGCACAGGACCTGATGCTCAACTACAGGGCCAAGGAAGGTAAAATGGGGACTTAGTTCACGGAGATCAAGAAAGATCCCCTTGATGATTGCTTTTTGAGCCTGTCTGATGAAGGATCCGGAAATTTAAGTAGAGCAGGTAGAGGGACATTCTGGAACTCTGCAGCTGTGAAAGCATGGTGAGCAGAAGAAGCTAAAAAGAGCTAGTGGGCCTGAAGCGCCACAGGCTAAGGCAGGTTCCTTAGGAGGAAGCTGAAGATGGAGATCACATTAGACAGAGGTTTGTAGGCAAGTTCTGGGAGGTATGACTTGAAAACTACTGAAGTATTTGAAGCATGATAGGGGAAGGGTGACAGCCCTTTAATGGTATTTTGGAAAAATCTCCCCACCAACAGGGAGATGGGATAGGAAAGGAGCAGATCAACGAGAAGTCCATTCAAGTCCAAATGAAAGACCTGGTAGCTAAGAGTATGATGGCAAAGAAGGAGAGATGTGGAAAGACAGAGCTGTGCTGGAGATAAAAGTGAAATGACTTGATGTTAGGTAGTATATGTGGAGTGGGCAGGAAAGGAGAGGGGATGAATTGGGAGGAGGAAAATAGAGTTGAATTTTAGAGTTGGAAAACAGAATGCAGAAGATTAAGTTTTGTACATACTGAGATATACAAGAAGTGTAATGTAACTATTTGGAGTTCCAAAGAGAGGTGTGGCCTAGAAATACAAATCTGGCAGTTGTTTGCATGGAGGGGATATTGATACCCAGGGCCTGGCTGAGATGAGCCATGGGGACTGCAGAGTGAACAGGCAGAAGGTAGAGACCAGCCACGTCCATCATTCTTTTTAGTAGAACGGCTGGTAATTTCATGCATGTGCTGTGGACCACCAAAGGGGGTTCAGGATATAGTATGAGATTTAAAATAAAAAGCATGTAGTTATAGAAAGGCTGTACTGCCCTGTGGTGAAGGCATGATCATCTCATTGGAGGATAGGTATTGGGACTCTAATTCCAGTTATTTTTTTGTTTTTGACACAGTGTCTCACTGTACAGTCCTGGCTGGATTTGAACTCTCTGTGTAGCTCTATTTGGCCTCAAATTTGTGATCTTCCTGCCTCAGCTTCCTTAGTGCTGATGTTACAGGCATGTGCCATCGTGCCCAGCTCTATCTCTTTGATCTTGGGCTAGATGCATCTTTTTCCTTTTTTATGTTAAATGTAGGAGTAATAGTTTG